CGAGAGGCGTCTGGATAACTAGCTCAGTTGGGAACCGCCGGCACCCGTTCCATCTTCCACGGCTGGAAGAAAGCCACCATAGGTCCCCTCTGAGGTCTGAAACATACGCTCTGTTTGCCCGCTTCTCCAACCCCATCCCTTCCAGATGCGTTGGACCATAATCCCCCAGTGCGGTGGGGATTATGTGACCCCACACATCTGGAAGGCATGGGGCTGGAGAAGGCAGTAGGCCAAGCCAGTGAATATTGGAACCCTTCCCCGTTGCCCAGGCCTCAAAGCCCAGTGCGGACAGATTGGCTCTCCGATCTGGGGAGATGCTCGGGGCTGGACCACAGCGGGACTCCCCCACAGAGCGACTCTTGTCAACAGTGATGGCTGGCGCAGCCGCGGGTGGGATCCACGCTGTTGGGCCCGATCTGCCCCGAACAAGCGGCGTACGGTTCACAGCGCTTCTTAACTGTTAAAGGAGGAGGAGGAGGAAGAAATTCTGAGGAGGGGATCTGAAAAAAGAATCTGAACACACTTTCTGCTTTGTGTGTGTGTGTTTTGGTCGCGTGGTTTTGAACAAAGCAAACGTGAACCGTTCTGATGGTGTATCGGTTGTGCCTTGATGCTACTAATGAGCACAATGCCGGTTATTCTGAGAAAAGCACGAAACAGCCTGTGGTGATGGCAATGAATCATTTCTTTTAAACCGCACTATGAAATGTTTCTTGCTGATGGAGAGTATTTTGTGCTAAAGAGGGGGAGTGACGAGGGCTTGATCTTCCATTCAGGTATCGCTGTGAAAAGTTATGTCATAACCAGGCCCTTAAAATGTTTAACTTTCTCTGGATTCTTTCAGACTTGCCCCGCTGAGCCAGTTCACCAGTTAGATTAAAATATATATTTGTTTATGCCAGTGTGTCTAGGAAGAATATAAAATGCAAACAATACAAAAGGTTGGAGAAATCATAATCAGCAGGGAGGATATTTTCTTAAGTGTAGAGCAGCTTGAAAAGAGCACCCCCCCCCGCTACTCTTACATGTGGATCTGGGCCATGGCCACCCCCCGGCACCCCACAAGTGGCCGTGTGGCTAGGGGTGGCTGGCATGGGTTGGGTGACCCCACGGTGCTTGGCAGCCCTTTTGATTCACCGTGGCTTTTATTTTATTTATTTATTTATATTTATTTTTCAATTTATACCCTGCCTTTTTCCTACAAAGGGCTCAAGGCAGCTTACATCATTCTCCTCCTCCATCTCATCCCCACAACAAAAACCCTGTGAGGTAGGTTGGGCTGAGAGTCTGTGACTGGCCCAAAGTCACCCAGTTGGCTCCATGGCTGAGCGGGGACTCGAACCCAGATCCTCCGAGTCCCAGTCCCATGCTCTTAACCACTACGCCACACTGGCTCTTTTCTGTCCCTTCAGCCTTCCCCACCGCCAACAGGAAGCAGCACATGCCCCACTGCCTCATCAAAGCCCCTTCGCAACCCTAGAAAATGGGGTGCACTTTTGCACTTCCCTGAGCAGCTGGAGTCTTGCGGAAAAGTGCAAAATGTTCTGTCTGTCAGGCAAAAAGAGAAAAAGATGGCGGCTTTCACCTTAGAGGGGTGTAAATCTCAGCACCCCCCTTTGTGCTCGATATCCCTCTCCTTCCCTCACCTATTGACTGTGTCAAGAGGAAACAAAGGGGAGAAAAACCCTCTCGGAACCACCTTTAGGTCAACGTCTAGAGTCGGCACCTGATGCACTCTGACTGCAGGTGCCCCTGCCTGATGTTGTGCAGCCGGGGTCCCCATTTTCACACTCACAGAATTGACATTGCACAAGCGCAACAATGTATGCACACTGAATGCATGTTTTTATTTTTATTTAACATGATTGCTACCCACCTGCAGCCCTCCAACGTGCGACACCTTGCGCTTACGCACATTGAACGCCGTCCTCTTGTCTCCTGCCCACTTCCATAGTCTGTCCAGATCCTTTTGGATCTGGAGTACCTGCTCCTCAGTTGTGGCCACTGCTCCAGTTTTAGTGTCGTCTGTGAATTTGATCAGCTGGGGGACCCCGCTTGTCACTGGCCGCCATCCTGATGATTCCCCACTAATGGTTACCTTCTGCTTTCGGTCAGTCAACCATGCCCTAATCCACTGGACAGTGCTTTGGTGTATCCCAAAACTCCTTAATTTCTCCACCAGGATATCATGGGGCACTTTGTCAAAGGCCTTGCTGAAATCCAGGTAAACCACATCCACTGCATCCCCTCCATCCAGCCATCTCAAAACCTTGTCATAGAACTCCACAAGGTTTGTCTGGCAGGACCTGTTTTTGTGGAAATTGTGTTGTGTGGCTGTCAGCCTCCCTTCCCTATCTAGCATCACCAGATCTCTCTCTATTATGAGCCTTTCCATTGTTTTTCCTACAATGGACGTAAGGCTAACCGGTCTGTAATTCCCCACGTCCCTTGTACTACCCTTCTTGAGGATTGGGACCACTGATGCCACCCTCCGGTCTGCCGGAACCTCACCCGTTCTCCATGAGGCCTCAAATATGGAGGCCAGCAGATATGAGAGTACCCCCACCAACTCCCGAAGTACCCTCGGGTGTAACCCATCAGGGCCCAGTGCCTTTGTAATGTCCAGTGCCCTGAGGAGCTTCTAGTGCTCGACCTGCTGCACGTCCCCAGTCCCCTGATCTCAAAGCAAAGGATGGAGTGATCACTCGCATCCAGAGCTTCCCTAATCTGTACTTCATCTATTGGCTCCTCCCTGTTGGTCAAGACCAAGTCAAGGATATTCCCCCCGCCCCCGTCACCTCCCAGACCCTCTGTGTGAAAAACCCTCCCTCTATAGCTTCTAGGAAGCGACGTGACCTGGCTGTCACCGCCGAGTGAGTCTCCCAACTAATATCTGGGAGACTGAAATCTCCCATAATTACTGTGTCTCTCCCCCAAGATATCCTTAGAATCTGGCCTGTCAGGACATCATCCAGGGTCTTAAGGTTTACCAGGAGGGCGATAACATGCCCCCACTGACAGGTCTCTTTCCCTGTCAAGACCCCTAAGTTTCACCCAGACTGCCTCTGCCGAATCCCCATCTGTGCTGCCTTCTATCTCACTGCATCCTGTCCTTTCCCTGACGTATAAAGACACGCCCCCACCCCTCTTTCCCTTCCTGTCCTTTCTCAGAAGGTGATACCCCTCTATGTTCACCTTCCAGACTTGCCTTTCACCCCACCAGGTTTCTGTGATCCCCTGCAGACGACCAAGGGCTCTGTGGCTCTCCTTCTTGGTCCCTGCAAGAGTCCCGGGAGACTCGATAGATCAACTACTTTTCCGTCTCCCTGCTGTGATCTATCTCAGTCTTGCCATCCTTTCCCCACCTTTTAGACCCTTTTGTTGGGTAGGAGAAATTGTGAGAACAGGCTGGCAGAGGTGAGGCCGCAACAGGCCACCTCAGCGACATTCGATCCCTTTTCTCAGGCTATATTGACTCAGTGGGAAAATCCAGACAGATCAAAAGGTGTCTGGTGGTGGGATTGGATAGTTCAATTTGTATCTCGATTCAAGCCGTGGGCGGGATTATGAGTGTTTGTTCTTTTCGGCATTGTGTGCAGACTGGGATTCGCCTGCCTCAGCAACCCAGGACTGGCCCTGCTGTTTCCCTGACTTCAAAGTCTCCTTTGGTGCTGGAGGTGCTTCCAGAGGCCAAGCCATGTTTATACACACCTACTTTGGTGAATAAAGGTGATACACAGAATCTTAAACAGGACTGGAACAGGGAACTGGGCTGGCTTATTTTGCCCAATTCTACATTTGACACTTTGGAAGCCCCAGTGGATCTTGGATTACATCTTATTCAGCAAAAGCTCTTGTTCGATGTGCGTTGGACAGCATGACTAATTCAGCTCATTGCTGGAGGTGAAACAGAGTCAGGACTTCATTTAATCTAATATTTTGAAATGTTTTGGCAAGTACTTGCCTCTTTTTGGAGAGAGGTTATAACATGGATAAACTTTGTACTGGAAGACTCCTTTGCATGTATCGGTGCGTCATGTCCTCTTACATTATCCGCTTTCTTCCTCTACCACATCATTTTGACATCCAAGAGTGATGTTTCAGCTCCGGGAGAATCAATGCTCACTTCTCTAATACAATGTTTGAGGACCTTACAATTCTTTCAGTGTGTGAATGGATGGGATATGAATGGATTCATTCATGGATATTTGGCCTGCCTCTGTTGTAGCTTATATGTAATTTAGAAAGCTGTCTTTTCCTAGGCACATCCATGCGTACGTCTCACGTGTGTCAATTAGAATCGATATAGTCAATGTAATCTAGTTCTGCCTTTTTTCTTTTTCTGGTTTTCAAAAACGGGTTTGCTGAATCCACAATAAACCCGAATGCGTAAGGTCACGCTTGCAGCTTCCTTGCGTGGCCGCGGCGAGCGGCACTCTGAGCGAAGTGGGCCGTGGCCTGAATCCTGCGGCTCTTGTTCCTTCCGCCGTGGTTGCCCATCCACTGCTGCATCCAAACCGTTGCAATTTCAGCCCAGCTGCTTGAGCTGGCAGCCCATCAGGTTCCAAGCGCAGTGATTAATTTCTCCCAAGTCATTCTGTCCGCGCTGTTTGTCAGCCGTAAACACTGTCACGGGTCTCCGCCTGTCATGGGGACCATCCAAGGGAACTCTGCCGCTTCCCTTCCCCGCGTGTTTCCTGTTCGGCTCTGGGTGTTGTGTTCCGCTGTGGGCCGTTGCGGCTTTGCGATGTGCCAACAGAGCAGCTTGCAAAGACCCCGCCTCCCTTTTGCTTGCGGTTGCAGGCTCCTTTATCTTCCTCCTGGGATGCTGCTGTTTCCTTTAAATGCCCTGAATGTGCGAAACTTGCTCGGCAGGAGGCAGAAGGAGGTGGGCAGGAAGCTGTGGGTTGGCCCTTGGCGGGGGGTGGGGGGTGGGCCCAGTTCATGCCACGGCTGCCCCAGGGCACCTCTCGGAGGACGTGGGGCATGGCGCTGGTCTCTGCTGACATGGCGGGCTGTGGAATGGCCTGCCCGGAGCCTCGCCTCAGGCCGGCTTGAATCCCGGGCGCGGAAGTGGCTCAGGAGGAGATGCCTGGGCTGCTCCCAGCTTCCCAGGGGTAGCCATGGAGGACCCACATCAGGTGCTGCTGGCGGGAGCGTGCCTGTTGCTGCTTCTCTGCCAGCCTGCTCTGCTGGATGAGCCCTCGCGTATGTACCAAGTGTGCTTGTGGGAGAACGGTCGGTCGCTTCCTAGGAGTGGGCTTGAGGAGACCGATGTGCGTGTGAGAAGGAGAGGCAGAGCGGGCGAGCCCTGGTCCCGTGGCGGGCTCCCAGGAAGCGTGCGCGGAGGGCCGGTTCCTGGCAAGGCAGACTAGGACGTATGTCCTCGAGCCCCTTTTGTGGCCTTCTCAGGGATGTTTAGTCAGGGCCTTTCTTAGGAAGAAGGAAAACGACGCGTAAACACCACACACAAACACCACTTACAAACTCTGTAAGAGTTTGTCATAACTGCTGAGTATCTTGTGGAACTCAACGTGCTTTTCCCATTACGATCTGTTTTCTTCTTTTTAATGGGCTAAATAAATACCTGCTGGAGTTGCTTGTCAGATCTGGGCAACCGGCCATGCCACTTAGGTGGACGGCCTGAGTGAAAAGGATTCAACAGAGCCTTTTTGTACCTTAAAGAGCATTAAGGAGGAAGCTTTTGTTGACTAGGGCGTATGTCAGCCAGTACATGTCCCTGGCTAGAGCGAGAGGTGAAGTGAGGGAAAACAGCACTGAAAATTCGGACTGTTGGTATGCTGTCATCCAGGCAGGCAGCAATGGCAGACCTGCTTTTTGCCCAGGTCCTTCCGTGACGGTTGGCTTGCTCAGCTCCTCTGCGTTATTTGAACTGGGCCGCTACTCTTTTAATCATTGCTTCTTGCTTTAATAATTGGTCTTATGGTATTTCCTCAGCATTTTCTATTGTAGATCACTTTGGGTGGGTTTTCTTCTGAATTAAAAGTGGTATAGCGGTTTTGGAAAGAAATGGCACATGCAGATCCCACACTGGAGCTGCAAAGTTATTAGCTTCCACTGAATCAAGATCATGTGGGTGTTTTAATTGAAGACTGGATATTTTTCTTGCTTTGGAAATGGGTGTTGTTAGTGCTTTAGAGACACTAAAGGCTTACGACAAGGTTTGGTTATTATTTGTTTCCACTGTGCGTCCACCTACCCACACTAAGGACTTTTTCTCCCCTAAACCCATGTACGGGAAAGTATAATTTTAGACCTGCCAAGCTGGGAATACCCACGTGCCTGCTAGCGTTGTCCTTTGTTCATGGGAATGTATGCCTTTTTACACCTGTAATCCCTTAAAGCACCATGAGGGCCTTCCAGGCAAAGTTTTTATCCTGTAGTTACTGTGTCTCAAACCTGGAATATTATGGGGATGAGCACATGACAGTCTCTTCCATTTTGTAACCCTCCTGCACTTTCCTATCATTTCTCCCATCTCTTCTTTTTACAAGAAAGAAAGAAAGAAAGAAAGAAAGAAAGAAAGAAAGAAAGACAGACAGACAGACAGACAGACAGAAAATTGTTAGTGAGAGAAAGGGAGAATAGTTGTACAACGACTTCGGGGTTGTCACACTGGGGAGTTCTCCATGGGTGCACCCTAACCCAACCTCCGGTGCTTTTTGCTACAACAGATGCACCTACCTCTAAGGAATGCTTACTGGTTTTGCCCATGCGTTGTGGTCCCAAATGGGCCACTTGCCCCCACTGCCAGGAAAACCTCCTGGGCAAAGCCCATTGAATGGCCAAGAGAAAGCGAAGGCATCCCAGGAGAACTCTCCTGGCTTTGCATTTCTTTTCCTGGCGCACCAGCGCATAACTTCTTGGCGTCCCCTGCACTGCTTCTGGTTGGCCTTGTGATGTGCCACTGAGTTGTCTGGCTTAGGAAAGCCCTCCAAAATGCTCTGTCTGTGCCCGCGGGGCTCAGCCCTTCCCAGCCCAAGGCCGTGGCTTCCTTGATGGACTCGATCCATTGCATTGCTCTGCCTTCAGCTTTGCCTGTACGATTGTCTTCTCCAGGGAGTTTTGCCTTCTCACAATGTGCCCAAGGTACAACAGCTTCCATGTCATCATTTTTGCTCTGGCTTGATTTCCTCAAGAATACATTTGCTCATCTTTCTGTCAGTCCAGTGTATCCACAAAGTTTTCCTCCAGCTTTCTTCCCATCAGCTGGCTTCACTGTCCAGCTTTCACACCATCCACAGAGCTTCAGGAATACAAGAACGTGGATTATCTTGGCCTTGGTCTCCTGTAAACACTTCCTACATCGGATGTTCTTTTCTAATTCCTTCATTGCTACCCTTCCAGGTCTTAGTCTTCTTCAAATTCCTTTCCTTATTTGGGTATTTATAAATATATACATTTATTGAAATTACTTATTGCATCTATTTCTTGAATTTCTTGGCACTGCTTAGGCATCTTACTTTTTTGTTTCCTTTGGCAGCAAGGATCTGGCCATCGCAGTTAAACCTATCCATGGGAGAAACAGCTGTTTTCACCTGCAACACCTCGAATGTACTTACCTCGCAGTATCACCTTAATTGGTACAAGATGGACAGTCGGGGCCAGCCAGAGAGACTGGAAAGCAGTAAAAACACCAGGAAGTACAACATAACCAGACTGAATTCAGGGACGTTCAAGATGCAGATCCGGAACGTGCAGAAGAATGACAGCGGGACCTACTCCTGCACTCTCCTGGCCTTCTCCTTAAACGAAACACTAAAGGAAAGCAACAAAGCCAACCTTACGGTGACAGGTGAACCCTCAGAGCATTCCCCGTTCCCCGGGGGCGGCTGCCAAGGGTCCCACTGTCCATCTCTTGCAGCGCATTCCTGCTCTCTCAACCTCCCTCTTCTACAGCCGGGATCCACATTTCTGGCCTGACGCTTTTCAGCACGTTCCGAAATGATGCTGCACGAGGAGCGAGCGGGGAAACGCTCAAGCTTGTCGATGATACCGAATTATTTAGGGTGGTTCAAGCCAGGCTGTGTGAAGGGAGGCTCTCCAAGCTGCGGGGATGGGCAGCCAAATGGCAAAGTGATTCATGCGGGGGGCAAAATATATATATATATAAAATGAAAAGCAAATGGCGCATATAAGCTGCTGGGAGTTGAAGAAGCCTGAACCGATGGGACTCAGTGCTCCTTTCACGACGATCTCAGCTCAAAGTTCTTTGCGTTGCCATGGAGAAGATGGGTTCTGCCGGGAACGTTTGGTCCCTGCTCTCCCACCTGCTCTGAGGATTGTGGCCAAGCCAGGGGTCGGGGTGGGAGGGCTGGCAGCCAACCCCTAGGCCAGCGCTGCGTTCCGTGAGCTCTGGCTCCAGCGGCTGCCCCCCCCCCCACCCCCGGGCCTGCCCTGGTGGCACGTGGGCTCAAGGCAGAGGTGGCCCCACGTGGCCGTTGGCCTCCTTGCCCAAGGCAAAGCGGAGGTGAGCTCGTAATGGCCTCGTCCTTGGCCTGGTTGTGCAACCAGTCCTTGGGATATTTGCTCTCATGGAACTTCTGCCGAAGGAAGGGAGTTCTCCGAGAGCAACGCCCAGCTCGGAAAAGCCCAGCTGTAGGCTGGGGGCTGCCCAGAAGGGCTTTCGCAGCTTGGCTCTGCCAGGAGGAACGCGCAAGCGGATTGGGATCTTAGAATGCCTGGCTGGGAAGAAGCAGTCTTGCAAGGGGGCTCGAGGTGGGGCAGAGGGGGGAATGGATGTCGCTGCGCTTGGCCTTGCCAGCCTGGGCACCCCTCGCTGCAAACTGTGCGTGCAACCGCCCCCCCCCCCCGACCACGTCACCTACCACACTGCCCCACATGTCCACATTCCACATTCCCCACGAGGCTGCCCCTCTGAAGCCACCCCCAAACTTCCCGCTGAAGCAAATGGGGGGCACCAGTCCTCTGCTCCTGGATGAACCCGTGGGATTCGCTTTGGAATGCAGCTGGTTTCACAATCAGTCGATGAATCTGCCTTTCTGCTTCACATCCTCAGAAAAGCCTAACCCTGAGCCAAGACCTACAGAAGAGGAAAGGAGAAAGGAGGAGGAGGAGGAGGAGGAGGAGGAAGAGGAAAAGCCTGAAAGTGGACACCCCAACCACAGCACCCTTCTTGTTGCGATCGGAGGAGCCGGGCTGGTTGTGCTGCTCGTGTCTGTGTGTTTCTTTCTCGCCACTGTCCTCAGGAAAAGGAAAGGTACATCTCGGGGGCAGGCCCAGCCCGTCCACCCGCTCTCCCCGCGTGTCCGTGTCCGTGCAGCCCCTGCGCTGAACCCTCAGCCGGTTCCCAAGCCCATCGCTGAGGGCGCAGGCGACGGACTGAATGGGCAACCGCTGTTCATGCAGAAAAGAGCCCTTGGGTTGGGGTTCTTACTTCGGTTTGCTTTATAGGTGATCTTTCTGCATAATGAACCTCAAACTTTACCCAGAAATAATAATAGGAATAATGATGATGATGATGATGATGATGATGATGATAATGATAATAGTAGTAGTAGTAACACAAATAGAGGCACAGGTAAAGATGCGCATGTTTTAAAGCACCGGGTTCTCAGCCAGCGCATGTGCGTCTACTTTTTCAGCCCCGAGATCAGCCTTTAGCTAGAAGCAAGCGCATGGAGCCGGAGCCGTGGCGGGTTTCCTCCTCACACCAGTCCTTCCTGGGAGTGAGCTCAGGGGAGCGGCTTGGAGCCCTGCGTGCGGCTCCCGTGGTTTCTTGGTGGGAACATAGGCAGGCACGGACTCTGGTCCCTTTCAAAAGGGGACAGAAGGCCAGAGAAGAAAAAGGGGCCCTGGTGAGAGATGGATGGACTTCATAAAGGAGGCTGCAGTGCTGGACTTGGAGCCGTTAAGCAGGGCTGTCACAGATAGGCCATTCAGAAGGGCTTTCATCCAAAATGAGTGGGTCTCACCGCAGCCTCCGGTCATCCAGGACCTCCCCTTCTTCCACTGGGGCTGTGTCCCAGTGTGGAAATACTTTATTTATTTATTCATTGCAATGGCTTCTACGCCGCTCGTCCCGATACAAACCCAGCGCTTCCATGTGCCGTAAAGATGTCAGCATCACAATGATCAGTATCAGGAATTGGTCTAGATGGCCATTGTTGGGGACGGTGGGCGGCTGGGGTGGCGGTAAGGAGCAACTCGAGCTTGCCCCTCTCTGCGGCGCCCCCTCCCCTTCTAAGGAGCCTATGCAACATAGGGGAGGCAGCGGGCGCGGCCCTTTCCGTGCCCACCGGGAAGGGGGCAGCGTGGCAGCTCAGCCTTCGGGGTCTGAGCTCCAGAGCCGGAGTGGGACGGCAGAGTGTGTGCCTATCAAGCCCTTTTTGGGTGGGTGGGCAGAATCTCACGCATTGTGGCCGTGAGAAGAGCAACAGTCTACTGATTTCAAGGACGATGCTCCTGCAGGCTGCTGTAGAGTCGACTGTCTCTTGGGAAACCGCAGGTTGTGCGAGGCATCACTGCAGTGTGATGTCTTTTAAAAAATAAGAGCGCGTAAACCATCACCTCCCCTTTCATCCCGCTCAGGTGGAGGTGCGCAGGTGGGAGTGCGGCTGGGGGATCTTGCTTAACCAGTGGATGAATTCTGTGTTGTCTTGCAGGACAGAAGAGGTCACAGGATGAAAATGCTCCCTTGGTAAGAGCCGTTTTGCTCAGAGCTGAGATTGTTTTCATGGATGTGGCTGACTTGGGTTTGCACCTGAGCGCTTCAGGTCGCAAAGGACCCGCTGACCGGGATTACAGGGCAACCTGTTCAAGGGCCCCTGCATGTTCCTGGCAAGATGGCCTTTAAGAAAATAGCTGGCAGCCAGAGGTACTTCTGAATCTGCTGTAGTTTTGGAGTGACCCTCCTATTGGCAGTGATGGGAGATTTATTTGTGTTTATTAAATGTATATACTGGCCATCAGATTTCTCTCAAATACAAAGAGCTCCTTCAGAGGAAGGATTTTCTTCAGGTCTGTGAGGAGTTAAATTCCTCACTCCAAGCCAGCTCTGATCATGCAGCCTAAGAGCAGGTCCAAGCCGTGGCACCGAAGTCTGGGGGAGAGCACCCCCCCAGGCAATCTGAGTTCCGGAGGAGCTTTGCACGGTGCTGAACCAAACCTCCAAAGTGCCGGGCTTCACAATGCACCAGAGATACATGCTGGGGCTTCTTCCAGGGTCACGAATAACGCCCTGACTTCTGCGAGCGGATCCTGGCAGGCGGTGCAGGTTGGCAGTTCTAAACCCAGCCAGGCAGTGCATTTGCTCCTGGTCATCGTCTCCTTTGGGGATGAAGCCCAGCAGATCCTTTCAAGTTCAGACTGAAACCCGGGGTGGGTACACTGCCTCTGCGGTGTCGGAGCCCCGTCCGAGCCTGCGGTGCTGCGAGGCCTCCGAAAGCCACAGCCGACTGCTGGGGGGCCTTTGCTTGCGCTCAGTGGACACTGGAGCACTGTGCGTACTCTAGCGCACCGCCATCCCGCCTCATCACAGAGGCTGGGCGGGGGGCAGGTAGCAGTCATCATATTCCCATCCCCTGTGTTTGCTCCCTGCTTCCTCATTTCCCCTGCGATCATGTGAGGGAGAAAAGCAGGCCAGTTGCACAAGCCCTTCTGGCTGCTGCTGCATCTGGAAGGTCTCCTGGGAGGCAAAGGGCAGGCGTGGCCAGACCAGGAAGGCCTGTTCATGCCACCCGTGTCTGCCCCGTTCACACATCCGTGGGGTCCGGGAGTCTGCTGCGAAGACCCGAGGGCGTAGCTGCAGGCCAGTGCCCCTTAATTTCCGCTGGAATCCCCTTGGACATTCTCCCCCAAGCCCCCCTCCCTTCGGGGGTTGACGTTTGCCTGGCCTGATGGGGCACAGACGGTGCAGGAAGTGCCCTTCTGTAGCAGATAAACGGCTCTCGGATGGGTGGAGCAGTTCCGATTCTGGACTGGACCGCTTCAGAGTGGACGTGGGGCGACTTCTCCTTCCCCCCAAATTTGGGAACAATGGCTGTTCTTCAGATCTTTATTTAAGGGTGACAGAGACATGCTTTCCCCCAAAAAGCCCACTGCCATGTGTGGCAAATTTCCACGCTGGGGAGATCAAGACTCTTTCCTTTCTGATATGCTAATTTTCTGCATGCGGGGGACGTTTGCTTCCAGGCAGCACAAACTCCGCTTCTCACCTCATTCTGCATCCTTGCAGCAGAACGAGGTGGCACAGTCAGAATGGATAGGTGGTGACTGCTGCGTAGAAACGATCTCCCACACAGTCAAAACTCCCTGCAAGTAGAAAACTAGCATATAAGGGAGAAATGGTCGATTTGTGGATTGGCCTGCTGCTTTTCTGCCTTTGGGGAACTGTAAAAAAAGCATGTGTGGGGGAGTCAAACTGCCTTACTGAACCAGGTCAGCTTGTCCTGCATTCTCTACCCGGAAGTAACAGGAGGCAGAGCTGCCTTTTGCTGTCCTTTGAGTCTTGGGGGGGTCCGAGAACACACAGGTGCAGCTTGACTGGAATTGTGGAGCCTCTTTCATTGTGAGGTCCAGATTCAGTTCTGGGGATTTTCTTGGGGGGGTGAAGACATTCATATGCAAAAGTGGGGGGGATACCAACCCCCCAGCCTATTTTAGCTTACAGGGCTTACTGCCAGTGACTCAGCCTTGGCAGAAGCATTTTCTGCACTGGTGTGGGCGGGATGCCAGATGAGGAGAGACTGAGGGAACTGGTCTTTTCAGCCTGGAGACGAGGAGACTCCCAGGGGATCTTTGAGCGACTTATAGGTATAAGAAGGGGTGCTGCACAGAGGTGGGTAGAGACCCGTTTTCCCCTGTGGAGGAGGGCAGGATGCGTCCCAATGGGGCAAAGCTCAAGGGACCAGGCTTCAGGGTGGATGTCAGGAAGTACTTCCTGATGGCTCGGACCCCTAGGAGATGGAATGGGCTTCCCCGGGAGGTGGTCGAGGCCCCATCAGTATGGGTGTTCAAGGATAGGCTGGACGTCCACATGGTGGGCATGTGGTGAGCAGAGCTGGCTGGAGCCAGGGGTCAGACTAGATGGCCCAGGAGACCCCTTCTGACTCGCTCTGTTTCTATGTTTTTATTTTCACACGAGAGCCAGTGTGGCTTGGGATGTAGAGTGCTGGACTCAGGACCCAGGAGTTCGGGGCTCTCGTCCCCAGCTCCCTGGGTGACTTGGCCCAGTCGCTCCTGTCGCCCCAGCCCACCTCACCTGGTTGCGCTCGTGAGGGCAAAACGGAGCTCTGCAGCGCCCCTTGCGCCCCTTGCAAGAGGGAAAAAGGTGGCCCATGAATGCAATGTAATAAGTGGTGCTACTCGTGATTCCAACCCTTTGGGAATATGTGCAAAGAGCCACTGATGGCTGGGCGGGGGGGGGGCTCAGAGGGGGCATGGTCCCCTAGGAAGCTCTGGAGGGTTTGCCTTGGCCCCCGGGCTGAGGGATAACCATCCAGCGTTTCATCCTTGCGGCAGGTCGGACCCACTTGCTTTACCTTCCCACGTGGCCGCATCATTTCTGTTTTTCGTCAGAAAATGCTCCTGTCCTTATTTTTTAAAAAAATTATCACGAGGGACATGCGCTCTTACTGAAATTCTCCCACTCTGGATTGAACGGAAGGAAGAAGAGCCGCCCGGAGTGACCGTCTTCACGGTGGATTACGGGGTGCTGCAGTTCCAGGCGCCGGGGACGGCGAAAAAGGCTCCCCCTGCCAAGCGCACTGCTTCTGAGCAGACCGAGTACGCCACCATCGTCTTCCCTCCGGAGAAGCCCGGCCCGGCCGAGGCGGACAAGGCAGCCAGGCGCAGTCCGAGGGCATGCCCCGGCAGCCGGCCTCCACGCTGAAGGGACGGGTGAGCGCAGCCGCGGCCCCGCCTGGCGTCTCCCGCTCTCACGGATCCCGGGGTGGCACCGCAAGCACCGGCGGTGTGGCGGTGAATCATCTGAGGACCCAGACGTGTCTGGGCATCCAGACTTGCTGGCAAACCACATCCTTTGAGCCGCAGAAGCCTTCCTTCACAGCACAGGCGCCTGGAGCCAGGCCCTGGCAGAGACAGCCGAGTGCGGGTGCTCAGGGGCACGGCGTCCTTCCGGCTGAAGCTGGGGTGCAGGGCTGAGCGGCGCCCCCGAAGTGGCCCTGAGCTGTGAGGCTGGGCTCCCTCCGGGGCCTTGTGCCTGGCATACCGTCTGTCGCTGGCTCACCTGGAGCCCTTCCTGGCCAGGACACAACAGGCTCGGAAGTCCACTGACCCTGCGGCCACTTAGGTTGGCTTGAGAGCCTGGGGGACTGCGGCCCACCCCCTCGCTTGCGCTGGGATCTCTGCCCCTGCAAAACGCACCTGCCCCACTTCTGATGGCGGGGAGCCGGGGGCGGCGTATCGAGCTGGTGCGGTGGAGCCACATTGGCCGAGCTGCACGGTCCGCGCGCCATGCCTCCTGGGGCTGATTCCCCAGAAGAACCTACTTGCCTGGCTCAAGGACTTGGGGCACGATGGGGAAGGACAGGGGGTGAGAAAGGGGCCGGGGGAGCTGCCGGGCAGACCATCCACGCCCATGTGCCACAGTGGCTGCATCCTTCCAGCGGCATCGCAAGCAGGCGGGTTCTGCTTTTCGCTTCTCTGGGCTCCTGGGAGTGGGGATGGTGAGAAACAGGTCGGGTTTGCATCCCAGTGGGAACCCGCTGCCCCTGCACCTTCTTAATGGAAATGCAAACCTCAGTTTACTGGAAGCGTCCATGCGATGCTGACGCTTGCAGTGCGGTTCGCAGAAAGGGGGCGAAGTGCCCCTCGATCTCGGTACAGGCCCAAAATGCATGCAAGAGGGGCACACATTTAACAGCAAAAAAGCCTCACAAAACTGTGTCTGTCTGAAAAAAGCCCGCACAAAAACTGCTTTGATCTTTCACAGTTGTACAGTCCAAGCACAAATATTTTTGTGGTTTGCAAAGCTGCAATTATTATTCATTGAAAAAGCACTCAGGGGAAGAACCTGCACACGTAGTGGAAAAATGTGCGCTTGAAAACCAAACAAAAAAAAGCCCACCTGTGTGTTTTTCAAAAACACACCATAAAAAAGATTTTGCGGCTTGAGGCAGAAACAGGAGGGAATGAAGTTAAAAAAAGAAACAAACAAGCGAGAAGAGAATCTGTGCCCAGCTGAGATTTACTGATTTCCTGGCCAGTAGTTCAGTAGTTCAAAGAAAGTTGAACTATTTTGGCCTTAGTTTCTTATGTGTAGAGAAGTGAGGAGGGTATTCAGAAAAAAGAGGATTTACCCCTTCCGCCTACCACAGATCACCCCCCACCCCTGCTCACTACTCTGCTTGTGAAATTCCACGCACAATTAATACAGTGTATGACTCTGTTCAGATGCTCTTTTCTCCTGAAGAGGAATGGGTGCAAACCCGCAGGCAAGGAGGCCCTTCCTGAGCACGGCACTCAGTCTAGCCTGGGGGTCCCTCCAGAAGGAAACCCTCCGGCGCTGCACCAGATCGACCAGGATCTGTGGCGTGCAGGCAAACATTCCCGTCCGTGCAGAGCCATTTTGGGAGTGGATCTGCTTGCTGCTGCCTATTTCTGTTGTGGTATTTTATTGTGCATTTTTGAATGGAATGTTTCTTTCTGGATCTGTCTGCAAAATGTTGCATATGGTATCACTGCCTGAAATTCCTTCAGTAAATCATGGGAGAACCGTGGCATGGAGGATATGTGCCCTGGGGAGCACGGATAGCTCACATCTCACACCAGAAGGATTTGACAGACTCTTACTCACGAATGGCTTCTGTTCCAAGCCACAGAAACCAGTTTGGGCAAACTGGTTTGGTATCACACCTGAATGGCCACAGCCCAGCTTGGGGTGCTGCTCCATCCCTTTGGGACTTCTCTTTGGGAAAGAAGCCAGGGGTTATTCCCAGGGAAGGCGGAGAAGATGCTGTGATCCCCACTCACCTGCACACCTGCAGGGACTCACCTGCAGGTCCTCACCTGCACATCTCTTCTCCACATATCCCCACCACCTGTCAGCCCTCACCTATTCATAGTCTTTCTTCTTCCATCATGCCCACGCTAAAGCAAAATGAGTGTCCTCATTCTCTGGACCACACCAGTTCCCAATCATTCCACCTTTCCTACAGGTCCTTTGCTGTTCCCTGATTTGTTGAAGTGCTCCTCAGGTTACATTGGCCATCTTTTCAAAACGGAGCCACTTCTGCAGGTGTGAGAGCTGCTAATTTATTCCTGAGTTCAACCGGGAAGGGTCTCTGTTGTGCAGCTCCCGGACTCTCAGGTTTTGGGTTCCACCATGACCGCAATTCTGCCCAAACTCTGCTTTTCACCATCCTTTCTGTCTCCACGATGCTCTCTGGGCTTGGGTGCCTCTGGAGCAAGGGAAAAGGCAGCTCTGAGGAGGTCCCTTGCTGCTGCTGAGAACCACAAGCTCCCACTCAGGTGCCCAGACCTCAAGCCAGAACAGCTGTGAAGGTGGAGAAACACGACCATCCTAACCAGCGTGGTCTTCACTCTCACTGCAGCTGCCTCCGAGTGGTTTGCTCTGTCAGACCTCAGGAAGTGGGCGGGCTGGGACGAAACGCTCGGCTGGGCGCCACCAAGTGGGGCTCGTCCGCCCACACGAGTGTGATCGGCCTCTGTGGTGCGCACTGAAGTCTGTGCACAGCATTTATGATTCAAAACTTTTGTAGAGGGTCCCTTACTGTAGTCTCGGGAGGATTGACAGTAAGGCAAAAAATAAGGCCAAACACAGCATCCTAATCAAATTCTGACAATAAAACCCGTATTAGAATAACAGTCAAACCTTAAAATATTGGGAAAATAAAAAAGTTTTAGGTGGCACCAAAAATAATAAAGCGACAGCGCCAGGTGAACCTCTCTGAAGCGTATTCCACGGTCGGGGTGCCAATGTAGAGAAGGCCCTTCTCCGGGTAACTACCCTGCCAATCTCCTTCAAGATCTTAAAGGGTGGCAGGCACCTATGGAAGGAGACGCTCCTTCAGGTAACCAGGTCCTAAGCCATTTAGGGCTTTGTAGGTCATCACCAGCACCTTGAATTGGGCCCGGACTCCAACTGGTAGCCAGTGTAGGTGGAAAAGGACCGGCATTATGTGTTCATACCTGCCGGTCCCTGTTAACCACCTGGTGGTGCTATTCTGGACCAGTTGAAGTATCCGGACCCTCTTCAAGGGCAGCCCCATGCAGAGCGTGTTACAGCAATCCAACCAGGAGGCTACCAAAGCATGGGTCACCATTGCAAGGCACTGCCCATCCAGATGGGGGCACAGTTGATGGATCAGCCGGAGCTGAAGGAAAGTGCTCCTTGCCACTGGGACTCCAGGGACAGCTCCGGGACGAGGAGCAATCCCAAGCTGCGGACCCTGTCCTTTCGGGGGAGTGCGACCTGTCCAGGACAGGGCTGAGATCACTTACCTGGAAGGCTGAACTGCCCACCAACAGGACCTGCCTCTTGCCTGGATTAAGCCTCAGTTTATTGGCCCTCATCCAGCCCATCACGTCAGCCAGGCACCGGTCAAGAACGGCCATGGCCTCACCTGGACTAGATGTAAAGGACAGGTAGAGCTGGGTGTCATCAGCATATTGATGACTCCGCAGCCCAAACCTCCGGATGGCCTCCCCCAGCGGTTTCACACAGATGTTTACAAGCATGGGGGGTAAGATGGACCCCTGCAGTACTCCATGGCAGAGCTGCCATGGCATGGAGCCACAATCCCCAGCACCACCTTCTGGAATCGGCCAGCCAAGCAGCAGTGGGACCACGGCAGAGAAGTGCCTCCGACCCCCAACGCCAGCAAGCCTGCGCATTTCCGGACCCCTAACAGTTAAGCCTGTACCTTGGGGAGCTCTTGAACAGGCCCTTTTGCTGAACTCTTGAGGCATGAATAATCTGATTTTTATTATCCTTGTAAAGAACAGCACCCCTGCCCCCCGACCCAGCCCCCTTATGCCGCATCTGCCAATAAAGGCTTCAGCGACTGGGCAGCACAGTCGTGCAATTAATAACCGTGCAATTAATAATAAGAACAACATCCTCCCCTTTCTTCAGACTGGTGATACTGCATTTTCAAAATATGCTGTGATTTTTCCGCAGTATGTTTTCTTGTCTCAGGAATTATTAGCGGAAAACTCACCTGGTGTGCGTATGGATGCAGAAGTCCACTGTCCTCACCGGCACTTGCTTCTGAGAAAGGTGGCATGGTGGGGGTGTTGCACATGGCGCGCATGTCATGAGCGGAGCCGGCTGGAGCCGGGGGTCAGACTAGATGGCCCGGGAGGGTCCTTCTGGCTCACTCTGTTTCTGTGTTATATTTCTATGAATGGGCTTCCACGGGAGGTCGTTGAGGCCCCATCGGTGCGGGTGTTCGAGGACAGGCTGGACATGCACATGGTGGGCATGTCATGAGCGGAGCCGGCTGGAACCGGGGGTCAGACTAGATGGCCCAGGAGGACCCTTCTGGCTTGCTCTGTTTCTCTGTTTCCATGTTGTTTTGGCTTTAGGGAAGGATCTAGGTTCTATTTCCTGCTCCGTGTAGATCCATTCAGCTTAGGTGCAGAGAAAGAACACGTGAATGGGAAGGGCCGTTTCCCAGCACGCATCCTGTTTCGAGCTCATCCCGCAGGACGGCCTTGCCAGCCGGGGTTGGGGGAGCAATCCATTTGCCCCCTTCTCACGGATCCTCCCAAGGACCCGCACCCCACTGCCCCTCCCCACTGTTGGCTAATAGACCCCCGCTAAGGAGGAAGAAAATGGAGCAGCTGATGGGAGAAAGTCTGGGCAACGCCTCGCACCCACCAATTCTCACATAAAATGCCCCCTCCGGAAATCTTTGAAGGCCGTGCGGGTGCCAAGGAGGTGGCGAGGTGGGGAGGCAGCAATATTGGCCGGGGACCTGTGATCCGGGTCCTCATCCCCCTTTGACCTGCTCGCTGGGGGTCTTGGGCCCAATCTCAGCCCAAGCCTCCTCACAGGGTTGTTGTTGGGAGAAAGTGGAGTGCAGGGGGCCTGTGTAAGCTGCCTTGGCTTCCTTGTAAGAGGAAAAGACAGGGAATAAATACAAAGGAGTAATATAATAATAGAAACCATCACAGCGATGTGTCGGTCTGTCTTGCCAGGTTGTTCTGAGTGTGCAGCCAGTCCACAGGCTTGGAGTTCAAATTGGGTGGTGATGATAAATTCTAGGAAGTCCTAGGAATAGAAAAAAAAAAGTCAATTGCCACTGATAGTTTCCCCACTTTTAAGTCTTCTTCATCCCAAGCACCAAGAATAACAAGAAGAAGAATACATATCACATGGCACTCTGCACATGCACCAGTGTCCAATGGACGCATCTTTGACAAGCAGGTCTACTCAAGGAATGCATCTTTAACTTGACTTTTCTTAACACGCACGTTTTACAACTTGTTTCCGGATGTGTGGATTCCTTTGCAGGGTTCCGGGAAGTGGAAATTCCGAAGGACAAGAATGCTCGTTTGTAAAGTGGCTCTTTAGTGTAAAATTGGCTACATTCCTGCTAAAATGCAGGTTTCTTTGCCTGCCCTGGGAATGTTTCTCTGTGCCCACATCTGGGCAAGGCACCCTGCAGGCCAGGGCGACCCAGTGTTTGCCATGCTGGTAAATCCAAATGCCCGGTGGAGGATGTGATTGCTGCAGCCCCAAAAGCCCTTGATGTCATCCGATACGGGGCAAAAAAGTTCTGACCGTAATACCCAGGCTCAGTGGCCTTATTCTTGCACAATGGTGTTTATCCATATGCAATTTATAAATAGACCTTTTACTAATTGTATTTGTGTTGCTGCTAACACAAAGCAAACAGGCAAATAAACAAGCTCACACAAAAGATAATTCTTGCATCCTTAATCTATGGCTCTGGGGAAGCCCGGAAGGGGGGACTGGGAACGTGGGCAGGGTGAATTTGACCCCTGGCCTGAGGTTCTGCAGCCCTGGAATGGGCAAGCGACCTGGGAAATTACTTACCAGACCGCAACTGATGCATTGATCATCCCAGAACAGCTTCAGACAACCAGACTGGAGCTTTTTCTCTCCCGTAGCAAAGCCACCGGTTTGGCAGGAAGGCAGACAAGATCAGGGTGTTTGCGAAATGCAGGAAATCCTACCTCTGAAACGGATTGCATCTGATCCCTTCACTTGCGTTTTTGTGAGGTATAGTTGTGCTGCGTCCAGTGTTTCCTTGGAGCTGAACAGCTGCAGGTCAAGTCAAGGCAACACAGAATCTTGTGGAGGGAGCGGCACAATCCAGGTGGGGCGATCGTTTCCTTCCTTGTTCCAAGGTTCAGTTTCCCTCATTGCTGTGCGGATTCGAAAGAGAACTGGACAATATGTGGACATGGAAGATAATGTTTGTGAACATGATGGAATGCCAGAAACTACCAGATGAATGGGATTTGACGGAAGATCCAGAAATGGAAACATGTCTTAAAGGATGGCGACAGTACGTCCAGAACCATCTCTTTGGCAGGTGAGGCATAGCTGGGGATCAGGGTTGGGGTGGCCGCAAAGAATCCTCAGCGCATTCCCTTGGGGTTTGGACTCTTGTCTTTCACTTCTGAAGTGGGAGAATCCATCCCTGGTTTGTTTGCACATGACAAGACAAGCAGCGCCTTGCCCGACGGTTCTAAGTTCCTGACTCTGGCTTCCTCGATGGACGCCACCCACCTCTTCCGGGGTCTTCCTTTGCTGTTGTGCCTCGACTTTCCCTGGCACAATTGCCTTCTGCAGGGAGCCTGATGTATCTTGCCAGATACGGACTGGAAAGAGGCTTATGCCCTTGGAAGGGGTGGAAGTGCCTGATTCTGCGTAGTCACTACACAGAATTTGAAAATGATTATGAATGGCTGCAAGTGTGCATTTTAAAACACCCTGAGTAAATTCTGTGTGAATGTATATGGGGTATGTATCTCCCATAAAACTCAAAAGAAAAGCTGCAACGGGTGGGGAGCCCCTAGGATGTAGCCATTAACAGCTTCTCCTGCCTCCAAGCACGGCTGTCCTGACTTTCTGCTGGTTGGAGCTCCAGAACGGCTCTTCACAAGGCATTGTCCACTTCTTGTTCTCACTCTCTGCTGTTTCTGGCTTCTTTCGATGATGCCATAACACTCCAGTTTCGGTTCTGCTTTCAAAGAGCCTTTATAACATTAGGAAACCAAGGTGTGGCATTTTTGAAAGTGAAAGCTACTTGTGCAACTGTGTTATTGCACTTTTATTCACTTGGAAGTGATCAACCTCTTTTCAAATCTGTTTTAAAATCTGCTTCTAGTGATATCCTGGAACTTCAATTTGTGAGGAGGAGCTAAAACTCAGGTGCGTGGGAAATATCAAGTGTTTAGACCATCCGCTGCTCTATTGTTTAGCCCAGGTTCCCCACGGCTCCGTAGTCACGATGATGCATCACTTTGCAGGCAGAGGGAAACTCGACTGAGCGGTTTCAATACAATTACAGGTCATTTTATACCCTCCTGGTCACATACACAGGTACAGAGCAATTAATGAAATTCTGAGGTCATCATATGCAGAACAAATTAAGGAAGATCAACCAATCATACAAGTGGCAATAAGATTACGCTATTTCTAATGGCAAAGTATTGACACTTCAGTTGAGTAACTTAGAAACACAGAAACAGAGCGAGTCAGAAGGGGTCTCCCGGGCCATCTAGTCTGACCTCCGGCACCAGCCGGCTCTGCTCATGACAGGCCCACCCTGTGCACGTCCAGCCTGTCCTTGAACACCCGCAACTTCCGGAGACTGAACCCACCTCCAGGTCTGCTTAGACATGTAAATTCTGGCTACCGAGAAATCTTCCTGAAATCATAAGCCCCTGTGTTACATGCCATTATCAGGCAGGCTGAGACCATGAGTAAAGCATAGCAAAACAGATACTTCCAGGTAAACTGTAAATCCCTGCAAGGATTGTTTAGCTACATTGTGAACGTATGTAATGTATATTCCACTGAATGGCAGAGCTGCTCAGGCTTACAGCGAGAAGAGCGAGAGCCATTTTCTGAAAGCTACAGCACTATTAAACAGTGACTTGGCTTGGAGCGCCAATACTTTTGAGAAGGAGTGCAGGTTTGATTTTATAACGCAAAAGCACATATAAGCAACGTTTTTCTGCCAGGATTTATCCAAATTTTCCCAACATTAGCAAATTTTTTTCTGGTGGTCTTGGCCTTAAAAATGTGAAAAGCTTGATTGTTGGGGACGTCCAATTAATTCCTCAGATAAAAAATATGCTTTTGCATGTCCTTTAATATAAAATCTGGCAGAAGTGCCTTGCTCCTCTCCGCTCAAAGGGACTAGAACTTTTCCGAGCTCCGCATGCCTGGGAAAAACCCCAGAAATGTAAAATTCCCTAGCCCAGCTCCCTGCATGAAGGAATTCAGCATCCCTGACTGCAAAACCTACAACATTCTAAACCAGCTATATTTCTGTAACTCCTGACTGTTTTATTTGTGATCTGTTACCCAAGTCTTTGATGGGTCATGATGTTTTCCCAATGCCTATAATGATTTCTCAGTGTTTCTGCATTGTTCCCCACTGTCCTCACCTTCTCACCCATTTGGAATCCCACCTCTGCCTTGTAATTCACTCCACCTGTGCACTGGAAGCTTGAAGGTAGCGAGCAGCTCCGTTGTCAGGTTTGTCTCCGCAGAGAATTCCCTGGGTGTTCTCACCAATAAAACTGGTGCATTTTTACTGGTACAATAGAACTCGGCGTGTATATTCTCCAGGATGCTAAATCGGGATTTCCTGACAGAGCCGTGGGCAGGGGGCCGGCTCCGGATTTTTTGTGGCCCCCAACATTTGGGTCCCGAACCAGCCTGGCCCCCAAGCTGGAAACGGCTCCCCACCCTTGTTGTAACTGGCTTGGGGCCAGGGCGACTTGAGTGCCGCCTTCAACCGGTCGGGTTCTCAGCGATCCGAACTGCCGTTGAGCAAAGGGACTGCTTCTCTCCCATCAGCTTCGAGTGTTCGAAATGTTCGCACACCTGGAAGTCGGCCAAGGTGACTGTCATCTTCCACATGCAGCTTCTCAGGACTGCTTTGGGACCGGCCCGGGGGAAAGTGAAGATGCGGGTGTTCGGACAGAAATGCCGCCGCTGCAGGAGCGGCAAGTTTGAAGAGCCGAAGTTCAGTGACAAGACGGCCGAGTGCTGCCTGCACAACCTGGTGCAGAAGATCCTCGAAAAATGCTATGAAAGGGGCAGAAAAGCCCACGCCCTGCTGCAGCCCGAGCCCGAGGACGGGAACTGCTGGGGCCCGCACGATCGGAACGGCTGCGAGGCCTGTGCATGCGGGCTCTGCTTTGAGCCGTCGAGGCCCGCTTCCCAGGGGCCGTGGGAAGGCATCTCTCTGCAGTCCTCTCCCTTAGCCTGGCGGCACGAGCTGAAGAGGCGTGCAGGGGATGCTTCAGCCCCCTGTGTCTGGCTTCTTGTTGTGGCTGCTGCTGTGCTCATCCTTCTAGCCTCCAGCCTTCAGAAGTAAAGGAAAACCTGGCGTTCCGAGAAATCTTTTCTTCTTTCACCACGATGTCAGCTGGAAACTTTATGTGATTTTTTTTCAAAATCCTTGCTGTGATTCTATTGTATTCTTCAGCTTTGAGAAATGTTTTGCAGGGCGTCTAAGGAGTTCATTTGATAAGCATCCCATAAACAAAACAAACACATACCTAAATCCTAAAGAGAAAGAGTCATTGGCTCCCGGCCCAGAGGTGGAAAGTTCTGCCACGATGGATTCTCTTTTCAGCCCGTGTCCTTTTTGCTCTCATGCCGTCCGTCACAGGCATCATTTGGAGCACGGGTGATCTGAGCTGAAGGGAAATCTCCTAACCCCCAGCAACTGATTATTTTTATTTACTTAAAGTTTTTCTATGCCGTCCAATACCAGAGTCTCTGGATGGCAAACACAACAAAACAAAAAACACAACACGACACAACATGGCTTCCGACCATTAATGATAAAAACACAAATAAAACCAATTAAATGCTAAAATGCTGGGAAAATAAAAAGGGCTTGATTAGTCAGGCCCTGACCAGGAATGAGCCCTTCTTGGTGGTTTGCGGCCTCTCCGTGGGGACAATGAGGTGGGGACTGAGAACTGACCTTGCAGGTCAGGTGCCTGGCGTTGTCTCGCTTGCAGGGTTTCATTTATTCCTGTATTAGATTCAGCTCCTGCTTTTTCCCTGCACGGCATCGGAGGCAGTGTGCAGTGCGCATGATCTCCTTTCTCTATCCTCATAAGAACCCTGTGAGGTAGGCCAGGCTGAGAGTCTGTGACTGGCCCAAAGTCACCCCATGAGTTCTAGTAAGGACTAGAACCCAGATCTCCCCAGTACCCGCCCAGCACTCAAATTGCGACCCTGCTGAGTTCCCAGAATAACCTGGCATTATCATCATGATCATTTCTGAGCCAGTCAATAGTCAACGCTCTTTAGTTGCCTCGCAAAAACCAGAATCCTAAAACAGAGTGGGATAAAACGCAATGTTTAAACTGACTGTGAGCGGTGAAAAGCGACGGCTCATGAAATATCAGCTTGTTCGCCAACTGCCGCCCCTCTGGGGCTTGGGGCAGGGCTGAGGTAGCTCGCTTGTCCTCTCCTGGGTGATGGCATTTGTAGTAGGACCGAATCCCGGCTCGTTCACACAGGCTGGGTCGAAATGGAAGAGGCTGTAACAGTGCAGAGCAGGTGCCGTTCAAAGGCTGGGATCTCAGTTCCAAAAGGAACTGGAAAGGCTGGGGAAGAATCGCTCCTGGACTTTGGAGAGCTGCTGTCAGTTCGCTGATCGATGCCGGACTCGAGAGGCAGGCACCATCCAAGGCAGCCTTAAACCGTCGAAGCAACTGGAGGCAGCGGGTATTATTTGTAATGTGCTCTGCTTTTGCTTTGCTCTGCTTGCACTATGCATGTGTTAACATTTTATTAAAGTATCAGGAGAAGGCAAAACTCCTCGCAGAAGACCATCCTGGCAGGGTAAGTTGAGTGCAGAGGAAGGGGAAAGCCAAGTAGGAGATGGGTGAGCCCATAAAGGAGGCTGCAGCCTGGAGTTTATTTGGGGGGTGGGGGTGTTCAGTCCCAGGGACACCCTAAGTGGGGGAGGACGTAGGGGCACTTAGCAACACCATCTTCGAAAGGTGCCCCCTTGCCCATCTGCATGGAGGCAGAGGGAAGGCGCAAGCCATTTACCGGCCTGGCTGAAAGGCATTTTTCTCCCCTCTTCATGTGCTTCTTATGTTTCATGTCTTTTTAAGGGCCTGTCCTGTTAATGAATTACAAGTAAACTGACCTGGAAGTCTTTTTGGCTGAGAAGCGGCATAACAATACTTCAAATGAATAAATAAAATAAATATTTACTCACGGAGATGTTTAGACATTGAAAAGCAGGATAGACATGTTTTTAATAAATAAAAGATACATAAACAAAGAAATGGCAAGAGACCAGCGTGCTTGTGGAGGATGCTTCTCAAATATTTCATGGTAATTATATATATAAAAAAACCTTATTCCACAAACACATTGTCAGTCATGGGATTTGTGCTTTTGGCATGCAGATCTAGACTGTCGGCCATTTCCTCTGTGTGTCTACTTTGACGTAAACTCCACTAAGTTCAGTGGGACTTACTCCAGGGGGAGTGTGTCTAGGATTGGGCTCTCAGAAGTTTTTATACAGAGGGTGCAGAACCTCAGCTCTAAGCTGGCCCTCTGTGGCTCCCTAGATAGAAACACAGAAACAGAGCGGGTCAGAAGGGGTCTTTCAGGCCATCTAGTCTGACCCCCGGCTCCAGCTGGCTTTGCTCATGACATGACTCCCATCTCACCCAGTCCTTTAGGTTTCCAGGCTTATGGGCAGACACCCCTGCCATTCTAAAAAAATTGAAGTGCCTTTTGGAAGCTGACTGGGGTTTTTTGCTAAGATAGCTCAATGTGTTCAATATTTTTACATTTTCATCTCATTTCTATATCACGCTATAGCTGACGCTGTCTGGGTAGTTTACAGCAATCTGTAAAAACAAAGCAAGAACATACAATAAAAATATCATAAAAATGAGCAAAGAGTAAACAAAATGAAAACAGCTAAATCAAGCAACAAAGAGTGACCCTGTTAAACCACCCAGGATTGGCAATCTGCTAACACCCGTGGGTAGCTCAGTAAAGTCCGTGGTATAAGCTGCAGGGCTAACCTGATGCTAAAAAGTTAACAAGGCTGCCATGGGAAGTTGTTTCAGAGATGGGGGCCAAAAAAACCAGGCCTTCCCGCCTGTTGCCACCCACCGCTCCCCATTCAGGTCTTCCCACCACCGGAATTTAGCCTCCAGCAGCTCCTCCAGAACAGAAATCCCTTGCAGGCTTTTTCAAAATCACCCCCTTTTCAATGGAAATCCACCCCTATATTAGGGTTAGGGGTGTGCACCAGGGTAGGGTTAGGGTTAGAAAAACGAGGTGTCCTGGCACGATTTTGATGGTTGGAATGTGTTCAGAATGGGCAGAAATGATGAGCTGTGCAGAAAAAGCTACTCAAGGAAGGCTTTTCCAGAATCGCCCACTTTTCAATGGAATTTTAGCCCCATATTAGGGTTAGGGGTGTGCACCAGGGTAGGGTTAGGGTTAGGAAAACGAGGTGTCCTGGCATGAATCTGACGGTTGGAATGTGTTCAGAATGGGCAGAAATGATGAGCAGTGCAGAAAAAGCTACTCAGGGAAGGCTTTTTCAAAATCGCCCTCTTTTCCATGGAACTTTAGTCCCATATTAGGAATAGGGGTGTGCACCAGGGTAGGGTTAGGGTTAGAAAAACAAGGTGTCCTGGAGTGAATCTGACGGTTGGAATGTGCTTAGAATGGGCAGAAATGTTGAGCTGCGCAGAAAAAGCTACTCAAGGCGGGCTTTTTCAAAATTGCGTTATTTTCAATGGAACCTTTCCCCTGTATTAGGGTTAGGAGGATGCACCAGGATAGGGCTAGGGTTAGAAAAATGAGGTGTCCTGGAGTGATTTTGATGGTTGGAATGTGCTTAGAAAGGGCAGAAAGGTTGAGCTGTGCAGAGAAAGCTGCTCAAGGAAGGCTTTTTCAGAATCCCGTTATGTTCCATGGAAGGCTTGAGTAGATTCTGCCCTCTTGCTTCATACGAAGAGCAGTGTATTGCAGGTGTCCACATCCACATGTGTCAAGAGCTGTGCTTCCTCCTTCACGCATTCCACCTTTGCACAGTCCTTTTCCATGCAAAGCATCCTTTATTGCCCAAAAGGCGCAAAACTCCCAGAATGGATCTCTGAGCATGTTTGTTGAATTCAGTCTAGTATTCTCCTCCAGGAACTCTCCTTATGAGCACACCTGCCCTGCCCCATCCCTTCACGAGGGCCTTCCGAAAGCAAGCACACCTCCTCTCCGCAGGCCAGTTCCTTAATTGGGCCTCCCTACTCTGCTGATGCGTGTCATGAGGCCAAGAGCTGTGCTCACCTCACCTGAATCCAAGAAGCTCTCCTGTTCCAAGTCCCCTTCTGCCAATTCTACGTCTTGGTTATTCCCAGAGAAAAATGGGATCAGAAGGAAATAAAAAGTTTGGACAGTGACTACTGCATTGCAGACAGGAGTCATTAAAGGGAAAGTTGCAGCTGGTCACTGCAACAGGAACATGGAGGGTGATTCCAAAGGATCCTTCTCCTGTTCCAAACCTCTGCGCATGGGGACTGGTTCTTCTGCTGACTTCTGAGCCAGAGATCTCCTGCTCTGATCTCCTTTTGAAGCTTCTTGGTTCTGCAAAGGCCACTTTGCAGTCAATGTCCTAAGTCATAACCCTGTTGGCTTACAATCCCCCACCCGCACATATGCATGTGAATAACCCTGGAATTCCCTACATGCATCTGACGAAAAATACGAAAAATACGCAGGCAGGATCACAGACCTGCAAGCTGGGAAGGCAGGTTGCCGAACCTTTGTTTGGCCAGTGGGCCAAATTCCATGTAGGAGAAGCACTTGGGGGCATGTTGCAATGAAGGCATCATCAGCAGAATCCCCATTGTCATTCTTTTCATATTCATTAGATATTGTAGTTTACCATCCCAGAGAGGGCAAATGGAGGAGAGTAAATCTACTCCAGTTCAGCAAATGCTTTCTAAAGCGCACCTCTGCTTCTTGGCTTATAGCAGTCATGGACCTCCAGTTCCCTTTCTATGAAAGAGACTGCTCCTCTGCAAAATCTTTCCCAAGTTCTGGAGGCATGGCATCTGGCAGGAGGTCTCACCCCATTTACTCCCAGGGTTGTCTGCGATGTTATTTGGACAGTATTTCAGACTCCCAAACTAGAACTAACAGCACTGAATTATTCCCATGGCGGGCCAGCCAAAGAGGAGCAGTTTGTGAACAGTGACATTTTTCAGCGCCATCCCGTGCAGCCTGATGTGAGACGTGTTTTCTGGGAAGCTTGTCTTCCCTTTTAATCGAGGGGCTTAGATAGGAGCCAGAAGGGCTGCTGGAACGGCCCTCCTGATTGATGGCAAACTTTCAGCGCACATCTTTTTCCAACGGCTCGTGCTTATGAATCATTCCTGGGGTGTAGCTGGCCTCAGCAGAGACATCCAATGATGCAGAGATTCACTTTATACGTAGCACGTGTGCAGTGTGTGTGGGAGCATAGGAGAGACAGTGTGGTCTAGTGGTTAGAGTGTTGAGCTGGAACTTGTGGAGCCAGGTTCATGTCCTGACTCAGGAATGAAGTTCGCTGGACAGGCCACTGCTGAAGTGACCCTTTGGACAAAGTGCAGCGTTGACCTGGGCACCTCAAAATCTCCATCTGGCCAGTTGCTCAGGACAACCTCTCAGCCACTGATCTTTTGCAGAAACTTCCACTTGGCTTGTGTGTAAAATAAATCAACCCTCTCTAATTTCCTGAAAGGTGGTGTTTGGGAACTGGACATGCTGGATCCAACTTTCCATGACATCCAGATGACAGGAGTTTTTAAAAAATAAAAAGATCAGTATTGTATTGAGCATGACCGGTCCTGAAGGAAACATGGAATCCACTGGGTGTGGATTTGGGTGGCGGGAGTGTGGGGGGAGATATTTAAGAAGACGATCGAAGAGATGAAGCCTAGCAATGCGCGGAGACTTACAATGGAGTGGAAGCTTGACTTCTGTTAGCGTGGAACCTAGAAGGAGGGAATTGCTGAAGGAACACACCCAGGCAAGCGAAGAAACTGCTGGCCACCGGATTTTTAATCTGCAGCATGTTCTCCCTGGCCTGACCGAAGGAGAGCCCTCTGAGTGGGATGTGTAAACTGGTGACCTGCAAGAGCGGGAGGCTGGACCAATGGCCTTCTGGGCCCCTTCCAACTCTGTATTCCATGAGTCCGTATCTGACAGCCGAGATGGGAACGCTTGCGCTGCTATGCGTGGAGTGTCAGGAACTCTGGTGCCGTCATCTGGCTCCCCTCTCTCCCTGCCTCCTGGAACTTTTGCACAACCCGTAACCCCGGGGCTTGAGTCCAGTCAGAAGACAGTTCCATCTTTTCCTCTTTAATGGGAGTGTGTGTGGGAGGAACCTGGGAGAAGCAGTCGGAGAACTTGGGAGCGCTGCAGCTGGAGAACACGAAGCATTTCGCGAAAGAGGAGAGGAATTCCAGAGGAATTATTGACCGGGATGGACCTGTGGCTGTTTCCCCAGAAGGCCCATATATAGGTGCACTGCTCTTGATACTAGATAATCTATAGTCACCATGCCTAGCAACGGTTGATATTGCTTTTATATCTTGGCTTTTTCCCCTTTGAGAGGAGGAGCACAGGAAAGGCCCTGCCGAATCTGATCTGATCCCTCCAGCCGGATGCGGGCAAACCAGCTGCCCCCAGGATCCCTCCTGCTGGATGGGGGCAAGACCTCCTCCTGCCCAAGCTCCTCAGCAATTGGTGTGTGCAGCCACCTCTGCTAAAGGAGCCCTGGGCTTAAGGAGCCCCATCTTCATCCTTACAACAACCCTGTGAGGTAGGTTAGCCTAAGCGAGAGTGACTGGCTCAGAGTCCCAGTGGGCTTCGTGGCCAAGTGGGACTACAGCCTGGACCCCGGGGCCCCTGGTCTGGCCTCCTCGCCACGGCGCCACACGGGACGGCTTGCATCCCTTGCATGGTACGATTTCCAGGCATGTCCTGCTGGAGAAAAACCACCCTGACAAAATCAAAGCCCTTCCACCCCTTTTCCTCATATTACTACACAAGCTGCAGCGTTCAGTCGCTCTCATTCCAGAATTCTTATTTTTATTTTTTCTTTAAGGCAAGCTCACACGGCACCCTGATGCAGGACGTGCTCAGTGCAAACATAAATTGGAACAATGTCTTTGCAGATTTATTTCTTGCGAGTCCCCGAGCTTTTGGCTCCTGGGCGCTGCCTTTGCATTCCAGTATTTTGTCTGCGAGCCCAGAAAACAGCACGTTACACGGGGAGTCAATCCATTCCAGCACTGGGTACAAGTCCCAATGCCCACAAACTTTAGACCCTCCAGATGTGTGGGACCACAAGTGCCTGCTGGGGATGTTGGGATTTGTAGTCCAGCACATGTGGAGGGGACTGGTTTGGGGGAGGCTGGGAAGACTCCATGGCCTCAGACAGAAAACTCTTTTAGCACTGCTCCCGGAGGGCCTTTTGAAAGCGTGGGAGGGCCACTCGCATCCTGTGGACTAATTTCAAAAGCCCTCTGCAAGCAGCCAGTCCACATGGGGTTTTGGCAAGAGCAGACTGTCCGTCCCACAGCTGATCCCTGGGCGGGAAGGAAGAGAGAGAGAGAGAGGGATAAAAGGGGGCGATTCCCCCACCTTTGCCTCTGCCTCCGCCCCCCATGGCCCTCGGTGTTCCCCCCGGCCACCGTGCAGCCCGTCTGCAGGCATTACCCTGAACCCGGGACCAGCCCTTGTCTGAGTGGGGGCCAGGAGGACGGAGCTGTAAGGCTTCTCCACAGCAAGCAGCGCTCTGCCCTCACACGGCCGGTCGCTGGTCAACGCCGCCGCAATGCCCCTGAGATCTCTTTTCATGGAGAGCGTCTTCCCCAGAGTGAAGCCGGCTGCGGAGGGCATTCGGAAACCTCCCCGCCCAAAGTGGCCCTCATGGTGTTGATGCAGCCCGGTGGGGTCCCTGCCAGCCCACACGTGGCTGGATTTTCCGGGTGAGAGCCGTGCCCGCCTCTTGGAGCGGGGTTCCGTTCAGCCGGGCCGGGTGCTGATTGGCTGCACCTCCAGAGGGAACGTGCATCGCAGCCAATAAGCTCTTCCTTGGGCTTTTCCCGCCCTGTTCCTTTGGATGGTTGGTGGTTGGTATGGCTTGGGGGGCTCAATATTCCACCCCGGTGGTCTCCTTAATCCACGGCAGAGCCAGGAGGACGTTGGAATACACCCCATAGCGGTCGACCAAGCCGCATCCGTCGCCCCAGGACACGGTTCCCACGAGCTGCCACTGGCCGGTGCGGTGGCTCAGCATGACCATGGGCCCCCCTGAATCGCCACTGCAGGTGTCGGTTCCTCCTAGGCGAGAAGAGAGACGCGTGCGTTGGTGTGGCGTCCGTGAAGGAGCCGCCATATTTGGCCTCGGGGCTGGCATGAGGGGCCAGCACGGCTGAGCACCTCCCGAAGGCCTTGCCCAGCTGGAGCCCCTGGCAACCCCCCCCCCCCCGGCCGGCCCCCCCCCCCCCCCCCCCCCCTCTGTCCCCCCCGGCCCCCTCCCCCCCGCTGGAGTCCTGATGCCAAAGGGAAGCCAGGAGAGAAGGCCAGCCAAGGTAGGAGGAGGAGGGGGCATGGCCCTGGGATCACTGGTCCCCGCTGGCCCCCACTGGTCCCTGGCCCCCGTCCTTGGCCTGCATGCAAGCGGGTGGTAGCCATGATGGGCCAGAGGGCAAGGAGCAGGAGCGGCGGGTGGGAAGCTGGACTCCCTGAGGGGCCCCATGGAAGCGTGCAGGGGGAGGCATCCTGCCAAGAGCCCAGAGCCCAGAAGCGGTCCTCCGGTGAGACCCCCTGGCCCAGACAGGGGGGGTGGCAGGAGATGCCCCGGCCCACTCGCGCTGGGACATCCTCTGGTCAAGCAAGCGCACTGGGCGCCACGGGGAGAACGAGGGAGCCAAGAAGCAGCCGGGGGCAGCGGCAGGGAATTCCACCAGTGGGAACTCCGGAGGAGAAAAGGAGCTGCTGTGACCCCCAAAGGGGCATTTTGAGAAGTAAGGTAAAGACACCCTGGGCAGACTCCAGCTCCTTCCCTGCAGTTTTTACCTTGTTTTTCTCCAGCACAGATCATGTCCTCCGTCACGAGCTTATGCAGCTTGGCATAAGCTCCCGTGCACACGGCATGGTCCACCAGCGGGATCTCAATCTGCCACACGCAGAAAAATAAATGACATTTTGCCGAAGCTGCCTGGACAGTTCACAAAATCAACTTAAACAGCCGAAACAACTTGGGTAAGGCAGCTGACGTCAACGCCCCTCTTACGCCGTTCCAAAAAGACAAAACGGTTGACGCCAGTCCCTCTGTGTGCCGGCTTTTAAGGGCCCCTGTCCCCCAAGAATGCCCCTATTTGCTAAAAGAGCTTCTTTGGAGGCAAAGGGCTTTGGTCCCAGAAAAAAGGTGGGGCAGAAAGGTTCATTTGGGGGGCAGAAGGAGGGGAGGCCCTTGGGGTTGGACCAAATGGCCTTGTCGGCCCTCCAATCATCTGTCTGCACGATTCTGGGCAGACAACAAAGCCAGCCCATCTGCGGGGATCCAGTGCAACAGAGACCAACAGGGCCGGCGCCCGGCGTTTCGGAAAGTGCCCGGGGGCAG